AACCAATTATGAAGGGGTCATTGGTTTTCCTAGTTTGCCATGTTTCTTGAAGGAGTTGGAAGTACTGTTGAAAGCTCTATTGACTTCCTAATTGGTTAAAGAGGCAACCACAACAATTAGTTTTGTCCTGCAAGGCTGTAGTATTGGGGCATCTTTTTCATATAAATTATTGTCCAGGTAATTTCTACATTTGAGGGTATATTTCATATTACAAGTTATTGTTGTAAGTAGTCACTTTTTATACAATTTACCAATTAAAAATAATTTTCCAGTAAACATGTTACCCATGAAGATTTGGGCTGAGTGCCAGATGACAAGAATGTGTCATCGTAAAAAATAGTGGCTTGATGGCTAGGCTGATAAGAATGTGTTGTGAGATATTGTAACTGAGTGGCAGGTTATGGGGACATCTTGCTTTGAGTGTATACACTCTTGGAGGGAGATTAGACTCATTGGGTTGTTAGGAAGTGGCTTTTACATTGTTTCCTTCAGTAAGCAAGAGCCATGCCTGGAAATGCACCAGGTTCATAAGGACACTAATTTCATACAGAATAACCTTATAGTCAGGCATTTCATAGGTCTAGAGATTAAGCAGTCCAAAATTGTCCTTAACCATCACTTTTTTATGCTTTTATTTGAAAGCAATAATGAGCATATCCAGAATTAAGGAAACAAGATGGAAAACTTTGGCCTTTATTTCTAGTGTATTCCAATTATTTTATTGCTACATTCAGAATTTAGGTGAAGGTACTAAGTCAGACTTAGTACCTTCTCTGTGCTGTAGTCTGAATATTTTGCACATGTGTTCTTAAGCAGTTTTAAACACAATTTAAAATGTTTTGAAACCTGTGGTATGCTTTTTAATGAGGGGCATGGGAAATTTTTATGTAACTATAACTGGGAGGGGTTTGGGGTTCAGCTCCGAGTTTCAGTAAGGGAACCGAAGCGTTATGTATTGCTGTTCCCTGAGATAAAGGCAGAACTGAATAAAATCACGAGTGATAAGTGAAAGAAATGAACCTAGAAGGACACAACCATTCAGTAAAACACATTACTGTTCTTACTGGAATTCTGTACAATGCATTATTGAATTGTAGCCCCCTACTGTACATGGTTTTTAAATAATTATCATGTTATTGAAGTTGGAGACAATGTATGTTTGGATTATATGATAACAATCCAAATACATGCTGGGAACAGTAATGGGTATAATTGTCTATACCACTGCCTTAAGATTGGTAACTCTCTTGTAGGTATTCTTTGTTGTTGTTATTGTTTTGCTTTTTTTAATAAATTGCATTGTGTCGTAAGTTGCAGCCTACCAATAGGATGTATCTAGTGGATTGGTCCAATAGGCTCTACAGCTTATAGTATGTTTTTCATGTAATTTGCTTTGCCATTAACTGCTTTGCAAATGCTTCCAGAATAGAGTTATAGGTTATGAATGTGATAAAATGTGTGTGAACATGCACACATTCATGTTCACACAAGCAGATGCATACAAACCCAGACACATGCATGAAAACCAGACGCATGCATACAAACCCAGACACATGCATACAAACCCAGACACATGCATACAAACCCAGACACATGCATACAAACCCAGACACATGCATACAAACCCAGACACATGCATACAAACCCACACACATGCATGAAAACCAGACACATGCATACATATCCAGACACATGCATACAAACCCAGTCACATGCATACATATCCAGACACATGCATACAAACCCAAACACATGTGTACTAGCCAAGACACATGCATACAAATCCAGACACATGCATACAAATCCACACACATGCATACAAATCCAGACACATGTGTACCAACCAAGACACATGTGTACCAACCAAGACACATGTGTACCAACCAAGACACATGTGTACCAACCAAGACACATGCATACAAATCCAGACACATACATACAAATCCAGACACATGGGTACCAACCCAGACACATGGGTACCAACCCAGACACATGGGTACCAACCCAGACACATGGGTACCAACCCAGACACATGGGTACCAACCCAGACACATGGGTACCAACCCAGACACATGGGTACCAACCCAGACACATGGGTACCAACCCAGACACATGGGTACCAACCCAGACACATGGGTACCAACCCAGACACATGGGTACCAACCCAGACACATGGGTACCAACCCAGACACATGGGTACCAACCCAGACACATGGGTACCAACCCAGACACATGGGTACCAACCCAGACACATGGGTACCAACCCAGACACATGGGTACCAACCCAGACACATGGGTACCAACCCAGACACATGGGTACCAACCCAGACACATGGGTACCAACCCAGACACATGGGTACCAACCCAGACACATGGGTACCAACCCAGACACATGGGTACCAACCCAGACACATGGGTACCAACCCAGACACATGGGTACCAACCACGACACATGGGTACCAACCACGACACATGGGTACCAACCACGACACATGGGTACCAACCACGACACATGGGTACCAACCACGACACATGGGTACCAACCACGACACATGGGTACCAACCACGACACATGGGTACCAACCACGACACATGGGTACCAACCACGACACATGGGTACCAACCACGACACATGGGTACCAACCACGACACATGGGTACCAACCACGACACATGGGTACCAACCACGACACATGGGTACCACCACGACACATGGGTACCAACCACGACACATGGGTACCAACCACGACACATGGGTACCAACCACGACACATGGGTACCAACCACGACACATGGGTACCAACCACGACACATGGGTACCAACCACGACACATGGGTACCAACCACGACACATGGGTACCAACCACGACACATGGGTACCAACCACGACACATGGGTACCAACCAAGACATGTGTACCAACCGACACACATGCATACCAACCGAGAAACATGCATACCAACCGAGAAACATGCATACCAACTGAGACTCATGCTTACAGATCCAGACACATGCTTACCAACCCAGTGAGAGAGAGAGTGAGAGCAAGGGAGAGAGAGAGCGAGAGCAAGAGCAAGGGAAAGAGAGAGAACGAGCGAGAGCAAGGGAGAGAGAGAACGAGCGAGAGCAAGGGAGAGAGAGAGCGAGCGAGAGCAAGGAAGAGAGAGAGCGAGCAAGAGCAAGGAAGAGAGAGAGCGAGCGAGAACAAGGGAGAGAGAGAGAGCGAGCGACAGCAAGGGAGAGAGCGAGCGAGAGCAAGGGAGAGAGAGAGCGAGCGAGAGCAAGGGAGAGAGAGCGAGCGAGCGAGAGCAAGGGAGAGAGAGAACGAGCGAGAGCAAGGGAGAGAGAGAGCGAGCGAGAGCAAGGAAGAGAGAGAGCGAGCGAGAGCAAGGGAGAGAGAGAGCGAGCGAGAGCAAGGAAGAGAGAGAGCGAGCGAGAGCAAGGGAGAGAGAGAGCGAGAGCAAGGGAGAGAGAGAGAGCGAGCGAGAGCAAGGGAGAGAGAGAGAGAGAGCGAGCGAGAGCAAGGGAGAGAGAGAGAGAGAGCGAGCGAGAGCAAGGGAGAGAGAGAGAGAGAGAGCGAGAGCAAGGGTGAGAGAGCGAGAGAGAGCGAGCGAGAGCAAAGAGAGAGAGAGAGAGGAGCTAGCAAGAGCAAGGGAGAGAGAGAGAGAGAGCGAGCGAGCGAGAGCAAGGGAGAGAGAGAGAGAGAGCGAGCGAGAGCAAGGGAGAGAGAGAGAGAGAGCGAGCGAGAGCAAGGGAGAGAGAGAGAGAGAGCGAGCGAGAGCAAGGGAGAGAGAGAGAGCGAGCGAGAGCAAGGGAAAGAGAGAGCGAGCGAGAGCAACGGAGAGAGAGAGCGAGCGAGAGCAACCAACTGAGACACATGCATACCAACTGAGACACATGCATACCAACTGAGACACATGCATACCAACTGAGACACATGCATACCAACTGAGACACATGCATACCAACTGAGACACATATATACCAACTGAGACACATGCATACCAACTGAGACACATGCATACCAACTGAGACACATGCATACCAACTGAGACACATGCATACCATTTAAGACACATGCATACCAACTAAGACACATGCATACCAACTAAGACACATGCTTACCAACCGAGACACATGCTTACCAACCAAGACACATGCTTACCAACCCAGGCATGTGCTTACCAACCCAGCGAGAGAGAGAGAAAGAGCGATCGAGAGCAAGGGAGAGAGAGAGCAAGCCAGAGCAAGGGAGAGAGAGAGCAAGCCAGAGCAAAGGAGAGAGTGAGTGAGTGCGAGCGAGAGCGAGAGAGAGAGCGAGAGAGAGAGAGCATGTGAGCGAGCGAGAGAGAGAGAGAGAGAGAGAGAGAGAGAGAGAGAGAGAGAGGGTGCAAGAGAGAGAGGGTGCAAGAGAGAGAGGGTGCAAGAGAGAGAGGGTGCAAGAGAGAGAGCGTGCAAGAGAGAGAGGGTGCGAGAGAGAGAGAGCGTGCGAGAGAGAGAGAGCGTGCGAGAGAGAGAGCGAGCGAGAGAGAGAGCGAGCGAGAGAGAGAGCGAGCGAGAGAGAGAGCGAGCGAGAGAGAGAGCGAGCGAGAGAGAGAGCGAGCGAGAGAGAGTGAGTGAGAGCGAGAGAGCGAGCGAGAGAGAGAGAGAGAGCAAGCGAGCGAGAGAGAGAACGAGAGAGAGAGAGAACGAGAGAGAGAGAGAGAAGGAGAGTGTGAATGTATGAGAATGTATATGAAGTGCTTGCATACATGAACTTGTATGAATGTGTGTGTGTATGAGAGAGAGAGAGAGAGAGAGTGTATTTGTGTTTGTACTTGAGTGTGTATGGTTGGGAATGTGTGGGTCAGTGTGTGTGTGTGCTTTCTTAATATTTATGTGTACCTACACATTTACCAGACTGGAGTGTTATCACATTTATGCAACAACTTATCCACATCCTATCCTACTTAGTTATGGCCAATGAAAAGTTCTGCAATTGTAATAATCATGTCGTCTTAAT